CACTACCCTCAAAGCTTCATCAACAGATTATTTTTTTTCCCTCACAGGTTACATATTAATAATAAAGAGGGGAATTCCCTGGTGGTCCACTGGTTAAGACTCTGCACTTACAAAGAATTTTTAAAAAGAGAAGAAAAAGAAAGACTGCACTTTCACTGCCTAGGAGCCAGGTTCAGAACCTGGTGAGGGAACTAAGAGCCCACATGTCCTGCAGCACAGCCAGAATAACTTATAGTAGCAAAGAGAAAAGTACTTTTTGTTGGAGAAATCTGGCAGATTTCCATTTGTCAAGTGATTAGAACCAGCAATCAGGCAAATCCAAAACTGAGGACCATTCAAAATTGACCTGAACCCTTCAAAAATTTCTCTTTGCTGGAAGATTAAAAAACTGTTCTAGACTTAACCATGACGACGACATGGCGGTACCTGGCCCTAGGTTGTTCCCTAGGCAGGGGACTTCTGTGAAGGACATTACTGGGACGTGCAGTGTGAGTGTGGACTGTCTGTCTGCTGTGCCACCACACTCCAGGCACAGAAAGACCCTCGTGGGCTCAGGCTGCTGACTTCATCGGAGGAGGTGTTATGGACAGTGAGGGAGGCCTTGTGAACACATGTGTCTGAGGTTGCTGCCTCCCCTCACCCCAAAATCCGCTTCGGACGGCTCAGGTGACTTTAGTGTGAAGAGAAAACTAAAACATTCTGTTTTTGGTTTTTTTTAATCAGCATTATTGAGAGGAATCAAACTGCATGTGTTTTGAGTGTGGTGATTTGAGAATTTTACCATGCGTGTCCTCTCAAGAAACCATTGCCATAATCACGGTGACAGAATATCTGTTGCTCTTCAAAGTTTGTTGGGTCCTTTTGTGCTTCCTCTACCCCCGCCTTTTGTCATCTGCTTGTCGCTATAGGTTGATTTGCATTTTCTAGAGCTTCCTGTGCAAGGAGTAGTACTGTGTGTACTCTAGTTTGAGAATTGGTGTGTATGTCAATGGTTACTCCTTTTTATTACTGAGAATTATTCCCTTGGGTGCCTAGTTTCTTTATCCGTGCACCTGTTCATGGGCACTTGGATTTGTTCCAGGTGTCAGGCACTCCAAACAAAGCTGCTGTGAACTTTCCTGTAGATATTTATATGGATGTTCATTTCCTTTTCCTCCCGGGTAAGTGACTAGGAATGGAATGGCTGAACCAGAAGTAGTGAATGTTTTTTCTCTTTGAAGAAACTGCCAGACTGCTTGTACTTATGTTCCCACCAACAGCATACAAGGGCTTTGTTGGTTCATGTCTTTCAAATAACTTGTTTGTTTCACCTCAGTTACTGAATGTATTGGCATAAAGCTGTTTATATTTCCCCATGTTTGTGCATGCTCAGTCATTTCTGACTCTTTGTGACCCCACGGACTGTAGCCCCCCAGGCTCCTCTGTCCATGGGGTTTTCAAAACCCTGGCAAGAATACTAGAGTGGGTTGCCATTTCCTCCTCCAGGAGATCTTCCCAACCCAAGGATTGAACCCACGTTTCCTGTGTCTCCTGCATTGGCAGGTGGAATCTTTACCATTGAGCCACCTGGGAAGCCTGAATCTAGTGATGTTGCCTCTCATTCCTGTTTGTTTTGTTTTGTTTGTTTTTCATTTTGTTTTGTTTTTGGTTGTGCCATGCAGCTTGTGAGATCTTGGGTCCCAGACCAGGGATAGAACCTGGCCCCTCAACAGTGAAAGCACGGCATGCTAACCAGTGAACCTCCAGGGAATTCCCTCATTCTTGCTGTTGGTAATTTTCTGTCTTCTGTTTTTCCCCGTCAGTCTCATTAGAGGCTTATCAACAGGCTGCTCAGAGGACCAGCTTTGGTCTCAGTCATTTTCTCTGTTGTTTCTCAGTTTTCTGCTTCTTCAGTTTCTGCTGTGATCTTTTATTTCACTTCTGACTGCTTAGGGTTTAACTCTTTTCTTAAGGTAGAAGCTGAGATCATTGATGTGTTTTCTGTAGTATAGGCATTTAGTGGCTATCAAGTTTCCCCCTACCATAGCAATATCTCAAATCCTGATGAGTTTTCTTTTTCCTGAAGTTCAAAATGCTAATATTACCCTTTTGATGTCTTTCTTGATCCATAAATTATTTTGAACTGTATTATTTAGCTTCCAGATATTTGAGGATTTTTTTTTCTATAGAACTGTTATTTATTTCTAAATGAATTCCCCTGTTTTCTGAGAATATATGTTGTATGACTTGAATCCTTTTAACTTTATTGAAGCCTGCTTTCTGACAAGAATGTGATGTGTCTTGATAAATGCCCTGTGATACCTGGGAAAAAAACCTTGTCCTACTGCTGTGAGGGGTGACTGACATCTCTGGTCAGGTTGTGGGTGTCTCCTTGCAGTGTTGCTTCGTGTGTTTTGAAGCTCTTTTGTTAGCTGTTCAAGCACTTAGAATATATGTTTTCTTGATGAGCTGATGCCTTTATCACTGTGAGATGCCTGATAATATCCCTGGAAATACTCTACTGCACAAGTCTACCGTGTCTGATGCTTACACAGCCCTTCTGCTTTCTCGTCGATGTGGTGTGGTGCACTGTCCTCCTTGTGGCCTAGTTATATCTGAAGAGTGTTTGGTGTGGATCTTTTCTTTTCTGTCTAGTCTCAGAAAGTGTGCCTTACCTGTGGGGTTTACATTCAGTGTGATTAATGACAGGATTGGCTTTGCTGTTATTTTTGTGTCATCTGGTCTTCAGTTTCCCTCCTTTTTAACCTTATTTTGATTTTTTTTTTTTAACATTTCTAAATGATTTTTCTTGTGATGATGTCCTTTGTTGAATTCTTTCACTGTCTTTGTGTTGTTACTTCAGTGGTTCAGTTAGGGTCTATCATCTCTTTAGCAGGATGCAGAGGAACCTGACCTCGTGGACTCCTGCCTGCCTGTGTGATTAGTGTCATATGCTTATATTTGCATGTTGTAAATGCTGCGGTGCATTGTTATTTTTGTTTAAGCAGTAATGTCTTAATTAATTTTTTGTTTTTTGCTGCTCTGGGTCTGTGTTGCTTTGCGTGGGCTTTCTCTAGTCGAGGTGAGCGGGAGCTACTCTTCATTGCCATGCGTGGGTTTCTCATTGTGGTGCTTCTCTTGTCGTGGAGCACAGGCTCTAGGCACACAGGTGTCAGTAGCAGTTGCAGAATTTTTGGCTCAGTAGTTAAGGCGGGTGAGTTCCAGGGCACTTGAGCTTCAGGAGTTGTGGCGTGCAGTCTCAGTAGTTGCGACCCTGGGCCCTAGAGCGTGGACTCAGTGGTTGTGGCGCACGGGGCTTAGTTGCTCCACGGCAGGTGAAACCTTCCTGGAGCGGGGATAGAACTTGTGTCCGCTGCATTGGCAGATGGATTCTTAACCACTGTGCCACCAAGGAAGTCCCATGAACAGTCATACTTTTTAAATTTAAATTATTTTTAATGTACTTATGTTGTTATTTTCAGTGCTTTTCATTCCTTTTGTAGCCCCACATTTCTATGTGGCATCGTTTGCCTCCTGCCTGAAGGACATCTTATAGTATGTCACAGTGCTGGTGATTGATTCATCACCCATTTTATATCTGAAAATATCTTCATTTTGTCTCTGATGAGGTGTTTTTCGGCAGGTTGCCAGTTCTTTTCTTAGTTCTTGGAAGATGCTCACCCGCTGAGCTTCTTTCTCTAGCTGCTTTCAAGGTGCTCTGCTTATCACTAGTGAGCAACTAACTAACTGTCAGGCACGTCAGTGTTGTGTTGTTTATGTCTCTTGTGCTTGGGGCCCTGCTGAGCTTCTGTGTTCATGGTAGGCCACAAGCTTTTGTCACATTATGCCTTATGACCTATGGACCTTTTTAAGTTTGTTCTCATGTCATGTGTAAAATGTATTTTTAAAATATTTAATTGTAAAAATGAAAAGTTGCCCTGTTGATATCAAAATCAAAAGTATTTAGCATTTTATAGTGCCAAAAAGGAATGCAGTACTCAAAATAAACAGCCTGCAGTGATGGGGTGTTAAAGGGCCCCAGGAGCTGCTCACTGAGAAACAGGCAAGGCTGGGATGCTTGGAGCAACAGAATAAGTGATACAATGTTGGAGTACAGACCAAAGTATAACACGGACACTAGTGGCTTATACTGATGGGAAAAAATAGTGAATAAGTAAATGAGGAGAAGAGACACATCTCTGTGGAAGCATTCTGAGTCATATATATTATATGTATATATATATATATGTATATATATGCTCTGCTCTCTGGGAAGGGGGCCCAAAACCCCCTCTTAAGTGTGGGCCATGTGTAGTGACATCCCCGCAGGGAGAACGGGATGGGTGGGGGGGGGAGAGAAACTCTCCAGTGGAGACACATGACAGATAGCCCTCAGCCAGGTGACCAGGGGCACAGCCACAGTGAGGAGTCATGCTGAGAGCACGGCCCTGCGGGACGTGATGAGAAGTGTACTTTCCCTCTGGCCTTCCTCCCCAGACCCACAAGCCCAGACTAATAACGAGAAAAATATCCGACAGGCCAGCAGAGGGACAGTCTGTCATCCCTGCCCAGCCCTGCTCCAAACCATCGGGGTCGTTCAGACCAGGAAAGTCTGAGAGACCCTCCCGGCCAAGAGCAGCTGAAGGAGACGTACCGACTACTCGTCACGTGAGGTCAGGACAGGTCCTGGAGCAGCCCGAGGGCATGAGGTTAAAACCTGAGGAAGCCTGAGTGGTATACACTTTAGTTAATGACAGTGTATCAGCATTGGGTCATTAACTGTGACACCTTACCACACTGGTGCAGGATGTCAGTCGTAGGGAGACTGGGACCCGGTTGTGGGAGCCAGCGGGGGTCTTCCTCCTGAGCCCCTCACTCCACCCCCACTGTGAAGCTGGCGTTCCAGCCTCTCCCCACATCACTCCTCACTGCTGCTGCCCAGCCGCCCCCCGTCAGCATCACAGGCACGGGCGTCCTCAGTGCAGGTGCGTGGAGGCGGACTGACGCAGACTCTCTTGCAGTGGGCATCCCCACCATCCGGTGGTGCGGGGCTGAGGGGGACTACAACGTCATGGTGATGGAACTGTTGGGACCCAGCCTGGAAGACCTCTTCAACTTTTGCTCTAGGAAGTTCAGTCTCAAAACCGTCCTACTCCTTGCTGACCAAATGGTAAGACTTCATTTTTCTCCACTGAAGGGCAGCCCACATGCTCAGCACATGCTTGGTTTGATTCATCATCTGATGAGGCCTTCAGGGTTGTTTGCTTCCTTTTTGTGCCATTCGTGCATACGGAGAAAACAGAAGCTTGTTAACTGTGCAAGAGATAGTGACCCATGGAGGGCAGGGTGTGTTTGCAAGTGAGCCAGGGTTCCCCTTGGTTCCTCCTGCCAGGCTGCAGCCTGGGGTTCAACCTGTCACCCCTGCTTCTCCACCTGCAGATTAGTCGTATTGAATACATACACTCGAAGAACTTCATCCACCGAGATGTGAAGCCGGACAACTTCCTCATGGGGCTGGGTAAGAAGGGCAACCTGGTCTACATCATTGATTTCGGGCTGGCTAAGAAGTACCGGGACGCCCGCACCCACCAGCACATCCCCTACCGCGAGAACAAGAACCTCACCGGGACGGCGCGGTATGCCTCCATCAACACACACCTTGGCATCGGTGAGCCCTCCCACCCTGGCTGTCCTGCAGCCTCTTGGGGGCCCTGAGGGTTGGTTGTGGCACATTGGGTATGGAGGCTGGCATCAAACCTTCGTAGCAAAGGCTGGCATCAGGGCCTGGAGACCTTATCTTTTGGGGCATGGGGGACAGCATGTGCTGGGGCCTCCTAATGGGTGGTAGTGCATCTCTTAACAGCACAGGAGAGTTGCTTCTGCGTAAGCAAAGACTCCAAGTGTCCTTCTCTGGGGCTCTGAGTTTATCCCCAGGCAGCATCTGTGGGGTGTTGCTGTGCATGCTTAGGCATGCCGCCCTGACCTGCTCTCCTCTCTATCCAGAACAATCTCGAAGGGATGACCTGGAGTCTCTGGGCTATGTGCTCATGTACTTCAACCTGGGCTCACTGCCCTGGCAGGGCCTGAAGGCTGCTACCAAGAGGCAGAAGTATGAGAGGATCAGTGAGAAGAAGATGTCCACTCCCATCGAGGTGTTGTGTAAAGGCTACCCTTGTGAGTGTCTGGTGGACAGCGAGCCAGCTGTAGTTCTGTGGGAGGGCAGAGGCCTGTGAGGTCTGGAAGAAGGACCAGGGAAGCCCCCTAAGCGTCCTGCACAGTTAGGGAGCTGAGGACTGGGCAGGTGACCTGCTCTTCAAGTGGCCACAGCCTCTGTCCCTAATGCTCCTCTACCTTCCTGAGCCATAACTCAGGGAGTTTTCCTTTTGTTTTTGTGAGACTTCTGGGGTAAATGTCTCAGATGAAACTATATTACGCTCTTTGGTGCTCAGTTTTCTCATCCTCTTTCCTCAAAGGATTCCTGATATTTCAAGCTCCAGCTTTCACAGCCTCTCTCTGGGGCCATGGGTGGTCAAGGGTTCTGTGGACAGACACCATTCTGGCTCTCAGTCAGGAATACTGCTGGTTACCTCTGAGTCTTCTGGTGTTTACAGCTGAATTCGCCACGTACCTAAATTTCTGCCGTTCCTTGCGTTTTGACGACAAGCCTGACTACTCATACCTGAGACAGCTCTTCAGGAACTTGTTCCATCGCCAGGGTTTCTCCTATGACTACGTGTTTGATTGGAACATGCTCAAATTTGTAAGTATGCCCCCAGTTCACCGACCACTCAGCGTGGAAGGGGCTTGCCTGTCAGCAGAAGGCCACCAGCTGCCACCATCCCTTTCTGGGAGCTAACGGGGTGGGGCTTCAGGAGGCATGGCTGCCACATGGGGAGCACAGGGGTTCTGAGAAGCAAAATGCCAGAGGGCAAGCCAAGGAGGCGCCTCAGGGCCACGATGGAGTCTACAGTGCAGGTTTGCCCAGACCAGGGCTCTCATTTGAACTCTGTGGTCCTCAGGATATTGTGACTGCGCTGGTCTGTGAATTCCTTGTCAAGGGGATGTGACTCCCGCCGGGTGGGTGAAGACTTGCCCCTCCTCCCCTCACCTGGCTGTGCCTCCCAGGGGTTGGGAGGTGCTGTGTGTTAGGTCTCCGTTTGGCCTTGTGAGGAGCTAGACTTAACATTTGATTTCCTTTGTCACCCAATTTGTTCATTAAGTATGAGCCTATGTTTTTGTGCATGTGCACTGTCAGGACTCGGTGGGAGCTTGGACTTAATTTGTTTTCTCTAAAACAGGCCACCTGTCTCTGAGTCTGTTGTAGGAGTTTGTTTAATCTCTGACACTACAGCCAGAATCCCATTTTGTTTGTTTTTTTAATTTGCACTTCCTCTTTCATTAAAAATGTGTTCTATGACCTTAAAACAAAAATTGGCATGTTTCTAGGGTGACAAAATCTGATGGAGGAACAGAACCTCCTCCTCAGAGTGCAAAACAGGAAGCCTTATCCCGTGGCCTCACGGGTGCATGGGTGTTCACACAGGGAGCAGGTGGGGGCAGAGAGCCACAGCCTCCTCAAACTGGGGCCAGCCCGCAGAGCCGGCCTACCCTGGACCTGGCCTGTGCCATCCTTCCAGATCTCTTTATTAGGATGGCCTTTGAAGGACAACCTTTGGGGGCGGTGCTGCAGGTTACTTGGAGTCTGCACATCAGGGTGCACTTCCTGCCAGAGCCACTTTAACAAACTTTTTGTTCTGACATCATCATCCCTCACAGGGATTCGGCAAACCTCTTCTATAAAGGACCAGACAATAAATGGTTTTATCTTTGCCGTCTGTATGGCATTGTGGCCACTCGACTCTGTATTGTGTGTAACTGGAGAGCCGCCAAAGCAGTGCGTCAGTGAGCAGGCATGACTGTGCCAAGAAAACTATTCGCACGAATGAGTGTGGCTGCATTTGGCCCATGGGGTGCAGTTTGCAGACTCCTGCCTTACGGCACTGGTGATTAGGACATAACCTTTACTAGGACAGGTATTCTGGCGTCACCACTTAAAATCCAGTATCCCTCTGCTTGTGATTTGATACTCACTAAAAGTGTCAACTAGCTGTTCTGGGAGCAGCTAGCTTAGCTAAGGCAGTGCCCCCTACCTGGCCACCCAGGACGAGCCTGGCTGCCAGCCTCATCTCATGCGCACCAGCAGGACGTCAGCCTGAGCCAGGCGTCTGGGCTCTGGTTGGACTCTTCAGCTGACCAGATGCGGTCCTTTCTGCCTGTCGCATGGGTGCCTTCCCCCAGCTGTCGCCACATTGGGCCGCCTCTGACCTAGGCTGGTTCCCATCCCCACATGAATAATCGCAGAGAAGAGGGCCGCCAAGTGCTGTTGATGGTTGGGTTCTGAGGAGTGATGAGGTGACTGGGGGGATGTTTCCTCTGCTGAAAAAGGAGACAAGCCCAGTTCCACTCGCCCTCAGTCGTGGGATGGGTCAAGCGTGTACCCGGAGTGGGGAGCGCCTGACTTGTTAGAGGCTGTAGACTTCGAGGGGGGACTCCTGCACACGCCCCCATGTTTTTTCGAGTGGTGGCCAAGGGCCTTAGGTGGTTTTGCACCAAACCCAGTTCAGTTCTGCTGTCACCCTCTTTCCTCCATAGGGAGCCAGCCGGGCAGCTGACGATGCTGAGCGGGAACGCCGGGACCGAGAGGAGCGATTGAGACACTCCCGAAATCCAGCCACTCGTGGCCTCCCTTCCACGGCCTCGGGCCGGCTGAGGGGGACACAGGAGGTGGCTCCTCCCACCCCCCTCACCCCTACCTCACACACTGGTGAGTGGTCCCGGGGCTGCAGCTTATACCCCGGTCCCCGCGCTGCAGGCAGTAGGGGTTCTATTTTGTGTGTTGCTTGCTCTGGACACTCCAGTGTGTGACCTCATGGGGTCTGGGCGGGTGTGGCTCGTGGGTGAAGCATGTGCATCCTCGTTCTGTTCATTTCTTACTCCCGAAATTAGACACGCCAGGGAACCACCTGGAATAGCGCCTTCCAGAATATCTATTTCTCAGAAGTTGGCTTGTTGAAGGATTTTGTTCCCTGCGAGCTCTGTTGCTTTGCCTCTTGTTCTCATGACACAACATTTAGCCTCTTCCTTGCCTGTTGAGACAGGCATTGTAGGCAGAGGCCCCAGCCACCCTCCCACTAGATGCCTGGTGCTGTACTCCCAGGGATCAGCCTGTAGTGCCGACCTAATCTTAGGGTGCAGTAAGCTGTCCTGTGCCTGAAACTGAGGCAGCTGAAGGTCCTTGTTAGACGTGGTTTTCAAGAAGAGACCCTGTGCTGGAGTGTGGGGCTGCATTCCGAGGCCTCACGCTTGCTCCTGTCTCCCTCTCCTGCAGCAAACACCTCTCCTAGGCCCGTGTCCGGCATGGAAAGAGAGAGGAAAGTGAGTATGCGGCTGCACCGCGGTGCCCCGGTCAACATCTCCTCATCCGACCTCACGGGCCGGCAAGATACCTCCCGCATGTCCACCTCACAGGTACGCACCCCGTGGGCCGGCCCCTGAGCTCGCCCAGGCCGGGTGCTGCGGGCCTCCACCTTCTCCATGTTTGGTCTGATCTTACGGGCTCCAAGCAGAGTGAGGTCATAGTTTCAAAGGCATTCCTTCTTTCCTTCCTTCCTTCCCTTTCTTCCCATTTTCGGGTGTTTTAACTGATGGGGTAACGTTGTGCCCCTCGATGCAGCTTGGCCCCTTGGTTGAGAGCCTCCTTGATGAGCTGTGCGGGATAAGGGCTCTACACCCCTCCCCTCAGGCTGTGCTGGGACATGCCACGGAGCTTTCTCTCTCCTGCTGCCCTCCACATGGCTCCCAGCCCCCGGGCAGCCTTGGAGCCTTGGCCATCTTCCCTGTGCAGGCTGGTGCTTCCAGCCTGCTCACACCGTTTGTTGTGGGCACATCCAGCCTCGGAGACTCTGTCCTCGGTCTTGTTGGCCAGGTGTTCCCCCAGCAGAGTGCCGGGGTGGGGGTAGCAGGGGTGGCATATTGCCAGTTGTCACTGTGCAGTGTCGTGGGCAGAGGCCTTCTAGAGCCCAGTGCTTGGCAGTGTGCTTCGGGGCGAGGGTTCCTGTCTTTTGGTGCCCCTTCTGATGTCTGTCTTCTGTCTGGCGAGGCAAGTGTGCTCGGAGGTGCAGGGCCTGGTCCCAGGGCCCCCTCCCCCTATGTTCTCTTCCCACTGTGGCTTTCCTTGCTATCCTTTTGTGCTTGCTACCGTGCCTCCCTCAGCAGAGCAGCTCTTTGCCCACATGCGGACGTTTTTTCTCAAGTAGCTTCAGGGCCTCCTCCTGCAATCAGGGCAGTAGGCATGGACAGGGGTCAGGAACAACCCAAGTGGACCACTTCTGCTTCAGCCAGTGTCCTGTGGGGACTGGGACCACCTCCTGGTGTCTACTCGGTGGGCAGGTGGCGGGTTGAGGAATGTCCAAAACCTGGGTCCCGGCCGTGTGCTGGCGCAGCGGCCCTGTGCTTCACCACGATGCCTCAAGGTTACGCTTTGCGTCCTGCCCTCCTCGGTGCTTGCTGTGCAGTGGGCGTAGATTGTTGGTGAATTTGGTGGGTCGAGCATTTTGTGAGAACTCCCAAAACCTCAGTCCTGTGGCATTTAGCCGGTCTTGTGGCAGAGGAACAAGGTGTGCCAAGGCACACTTTAAGCAAGTGAAATCATGTTTTTTGCCAAATTTCCTAGTAATTTACTAGCAAGTCTACTAGAGATGGGTTTTTCTTATATGGTAGCTTTCTTTAAGAGACTGAAGATGCAGGTAGTTCAAATTGTGCGGCTCAGTGGGTCAGTAATGAGATTGGGCCTCTTAGGGTTCCCAGCCTCACAATCGTCCTCTGTCACCACAGGGCACAGAAGGGGCTTAACAGGTTTCTTTCCACAAACCCTGGGATGCGTGAGCTAGCAGTTGGAAGCAGGTCCCTGGAGGTGTTCACCATGCCTGGCCAAGCGGGCCTGGAAGAAGGCTCCAGAACACCTCAGCCAGCAAGGACCAAGGGAGGAGCAGACTAACTTCTTTTTTAACACAAGAAAACGTGTTTTGCTTTGAGGATCATTGAGGAAAGTGGAAGAGGCTGAGAGTTCTGAGAGTGCCAGGCAATTACGAGTTTTAATCCAGCCTCTTCGCCACCTGTGTCCGTCTTCATTTAGCCCATGACCCCTGAATGTTGACAACACACAGCTTCAAGACCTTTGCTATAAAGTTGTTCCATCACAATTGCATGTCTTTGCCCTCTGGTTCTCTCTCTGCTTTCCATCGAAGAAGTGGGCCTGAACAGTGGGGTGGGGGGAGCCGGTCTCTGAAGATATTCAATTTATGTGTGTCCCTTCCAAAAGAAGCACCCTGGTCACACTGGGAGTTTCCTTATGATCTTCATGTTGAGGGCAGCTGGACGGCCCTCTCCTTCAGGTTTTCCTGATCATCCCCCAGGTGCTCTTCCTTAAGAGACTCTGAAAGACTGCTGTCCACCAAGGGTGTGATCAGAGTTGCTCCAGCTTTTATGACTCTGTGGCCTCCATTCACACACCCCACCCCGCTACCCCCGCCAACAGATGCAAGCAGGAATAGGGCCAGTGACACATTGATCCAGGGGGCAGTACCACGTGTGCACAGACCCCAGCCTCTTCTTACCAGCTTCCTCTTCCTCGAGGAGAGGTTGCATCCTGTGCCGGTGTATCCAGGCCAAGGAGGTAGCTCATCATCAGCATACACGTGCCTGGAGCCACCCGCCTGCTTGGGGGATGGCCCTGCTGACCCTCCCCATCTGGGGGTGGGAGGATGTGATACACATGTCCCTTGTCCTGGCCACCACTCCTCACCCCCTTGTCCTTCTCCAGGGACTACAGTCCCCACACCCCCGACCCCAGCCTGCGAATCTGGCCTCTGTTGCTGGAATGTCATGAAGACTGAAAGGCTTCTGGTGGCTAAACCTGTGTGTGATGTTTCTCTTTGTGAGAAGTGTCTTCTTCATCCAGTGCTGTTAATAGAACATAATACCGACCTGTGGTGCCAGTTTTTTCTTTGGGTGGGCTGACTCGTTTTAATTCCAGCTCTCCAAGTAAGGTCCGCAGCCCTGTCCTTCTCCTTGTGTCAGTGAGAAAATACGTCCAGTCCTTGTGTCACGGGGAGGTGGCGTCCTCTCCACCTCCCGAGCACAAGCCTCAGGAGCTCCTGATGCCAAGACCCTCTGGAGGGGCTGCTGTCTGGGCATCCAGTTCTCTTATTGCTTGAGGAGTTGGGAAGGATCTCCCTCATTGGCCTCCCTGATGGATCCATCCTCAAGGAGCAGCGGCCACGTGTGTAGGGGCCACTCTGGAAAGGTGGGACCCAGTTCCTTGTGTGGTCCCGGGATCCCCTCGAGCAGCCCCAGCCAGGGGTCCTGGACCTGGTTGAGGCAAGGCAGCACTTGTGGAAACAGGAGGGCCTTACGTGCTGGTCCAGCCAGTGGAACCCTTACCAACAGCTGTCTTTTCCCCCCACCTCAGAATAGCATTCCTTTCGAACATCACGGCAAGTAGCTGCACGTCTCCCCGTCGGAAGGCAGCACTGGGTGAGTGTGCTCACGGCGGGGCTCCTCGGCAGGCGCCGGGCCGGGTGGGAGCTGCCGCCCACTCACCGGCCTGAGGGAGCACGCAGGGGTCGGGCTTGCATGCCAGGTGCCCCAGGTAGAGCCAGGCCCCGGCCCAGGTCCTCTCCTTACATGGATTCCAAAGCAGCTGTGGTGGGCTGTCCAGTCTGGGGTGACCCCAGAATCCTGTCCATTGGCCTTCGGCCCTCGCTGTGGTCTCTAGTCAGGAGCCAGCATGGGGAGCAGGAGCCCAGTCTCGGCTCCAGTGGCCCCAGAAGGCTCAGGGCCTTGTGGTCCCAGGTTGGTCGCTGGACGTGTATTGTATTGTGCTGGCTATGGGGGCCGCGCTTGGTGGGGGCTCTTGCGCTCTTGCTGCGTGAGACACTCCTGATGGTCTCTGCTGTCCTGGCTTTGTCATCTCTCTTCCTTTAGCATTGATTTCTGTCCTCGTTTGCTTTTCTTTTCGAACTTGGTCTCTGCCCAGCATCTTGTCTACACTCTCGTCTGTATTAACCCATCAGCCACAGCCGCCTGCTCCCTGCCATTGGTGCATGGCTGGGCCTCCAAGCCCAGCTCCCCTCTCGGTGGCGACTCTTGTGGCTCCTCCCAGCTGAGGGCTTGCAGCTTCTGTCCACTCGGCACCGCGGGGCAGACCGGCTGTAGTTGTAACGTGACTGCACTCTTGGGGGACATCTTGATGGGAAGTGCTTTTCACGTCTTGCCCCAAGTGGAGTCCCAGTGCCCACTCGGGGCCTGGTCCTCTATTTTGGAACACCAGGCTACTTTCTAGGAAGGGGGCGCTGGGCATCTCTTGCCCGCTTGGACTCCGTCCGGTCTGACTGATCATAAGCTCGCGGCCCCACGGCCTCCTTGCCTGCATGGCTCTTCTTCCTTCCCCGTCTTCCTGTCACTCTTTCTGCTGCACGTGTCCTGGCCTCGAGGGACCTTCCAGAGCGGCTGGGTGGCACATGTCCAAAGGGGCTAGGCGCCATCTGTCCCTTCCTCCTCCCGGGGCGCTGTCACTGGTGTTTTGTACTCAAGCCTGACCACCTCCTCTCCTCTGGCCTCACGCTGACCTTCTCCTGTGCTTTGGCTCCGACAGATTCCCGGTCGGGTGGCGTCCAGTGGTCTGCAGTCTGTCGTGCACCGATGAGAACTCTCCTTTTTGCTGAGGGCAGACAATGCATGGCTGATCTACTCTGTTACTAGTGACACGCCCCCGGTCTAGAACCGAAATGTTAACACCGGGAGCTCTCCAGGCCACCCACCCAGCGATGCCCATGGGGGAAACAAAACACAAACCCAACCGGACAGACTCCAAGCGCTGCCATCGCCAGGGGCTGCACTGAGCCCCCATGAACTCGGTTCTAGCGGGGCTGGGAAGAAAGCAGTGAGACGGTTGCAGAGAGAATCAAACTCCCATCCAAGAGCCTTTCAGTCCCCTCCGTGGTGGCGCACCCGTGTCCCTGCCGAGTCTACTGTAACTACCGATCTTCTACTTGGTTAAGACAGTTTTGTATCATTTTGCTAAAAATTATTGGCTTAAATCTGTGTAAAGAAATCTGTCTTTTTATTGTTTCTTTCATGTCTGTTTTTGCGGTCTTAAAGATGCTGACTTAAAGAATTCTGAAGCAGGTCCTGGTGTGGAGTTTGTGTAGGAGTGAGGCAGGGAGCAGAGCACACGTGGGTTTCTGTGGTCTGCGTCTCGTGGTTTGTTATGTGGTCCACTGTGGAGAAGGGATTTTTCTCATCAGGAATTCTATCACATATATACGCGTGTGTAAGTAACGTGTGTGTCCGTGTGCCGTGTGTCTCGTGACTTCATTAATCTAGTTTTGGCTGTCACGCTCCCTTCCCCACTATAAACTGAAATGCCCGCTCACTGCAGACCCGCTGGGATTCTTGAATCATCAGGGCAGTTAGAAAGCGCTGGCCACACGCCCAGGCGCACCGGGTGCTTCCCGACAGAGCAGCCCATGGATCTGACCTTCCCAGACGCAACAAGAAGGAAGCTGAGCCTGAAGACTGCAGAAGCCACGGCTTCGCGTCGTGTTACCGACCTCTCGGGAGAGGATTTCAAACAGAGACTTGGGCCCCTCCGTGGAGTCATATTTGGTTATGTTGGTGGTAGTTGCCTCAGTGCTTTTGAACTTGGGAGATTTTCTAAGTAGGCTGTCAATACTACCAGTGCAAGTTGGCCCCCAGTCTGTGTTAACATCTCTGCTCAAAACCAAGGGCCGTGGTGTCCGCCCTGTGTGCCAGCATTGCCCAGAAAGGCCAGCAGGCCTAAGGGAATCCACTCTGAAGTGCCAAGAAACAGGTGACTCTGACGACCTGATGTCCAGGAGAGTGAAAGATAACACGCTTTTGTGACCTTCCCTGGGATGTAGTGACCCCACAGAGTCCAAGAAGCAGAGCAGGGCCGAGTCTCCCCAGAAAGACCCTCCGGGGCAGCCGGGCTCCAGGTGGGTTCCTGAGACACTCTCCTCGCTTTGCAGTAGCAGTAACAGAGGCACCAGGTGGTAGTGGCGGCCAGTAGACAGGAGCCTCCGTCTCTGGAAATGAGGTGCAATATATGTGTTCATAGGTACTTTCACATTTCTTCCCATCATTGCCCTGCAGTGTGTTCTGTTTAGAAACAGGCACTGGTAGGAAGCTAGGGACCTGAAAGGTGTCCATGTCTGTGTTTTCCCTTCCTGCCCCCAAAGTCCCAGCACAGGGACACTGGTCCTAGGATGCCCTGACTGCTGTGTTGATGGCACAGAATGCAGCTGGTTGCTTCTTTCTGAATCCTGAGCTGGCTACTCTGTAAGTGTTTCGGGGTGTGGACACTTGGCCAGGTGGGACTGTGTTTCTGGGAGCATAGGGGGAGCTTGGGTTGGTTGGAGTGAGTTGGGGGCTTTCATCGTGTCCCAGTGGCTTCCTCAGAGGTGGACCTCCCCCTCCTGGAGAGCTGTTAGCAGCTGCGGCCCTGATGTTCTGCATCCAGGTTTTCACCTGGATTGCCAGATGGCATTTTAGAAGTGGACTCCAACCCTGAGTCCTCAGCAGTGTGGTTGTGGACAGTTGTGTCCCCGCCCCCGTCCCCCCATATTTAACTCCCCATCCTGACTTGCAGGAAACATAGTTGGAATGTCTGTATCAACCTGTGTATCAGTGGCCAGTCTCTGAACTGCGCTTTTGTATGACCACTGTATTTGTGTCCTTAACCACCATGTAAATAATAAATTCATGACGACTTCTGCCTTTCTTCCCTGCCCCTGCCATGTGGTCTTTATTTCATCAGTTTTGAGTTTTGATTTATGTAGATTAACTTTGTGAAACTAATTTTCTGAGACTGGGCATTCATGTCTGTCCTTTGGAAGCCTGTTGGTGTACTTTTGTAAGCTGATCGGGAGCAGGTGGGATGAGCCTCTGAAGTGTGGCAGGGATGTGGCTGAGCTGCTGCCGATGTAGGCCGTGCGTACACACCAGTCCCCTGCTTTAACCACCTCCGTGGGAAGGAGGTGCTGCCACTCACCTTGTGTTCTCCGGGGAGTGAAGAGCATGGTAGTTGGCCTGTAGCTGTGTTGCTACTGCCCGTGGGGGTGCTCATGGTACCCATGAAGGGGCTCCCAGGGGGGCCCCTGCTGGGACCCAGGGGCTTGGACCTGGCAGTCGCCATCCTGGTGTGAGCACCAGCCTGCATCCTCATGCCCCAGGTGCTTTCCCTTCTAGTCAGGCAGTGTTGGAAGGGGGCATCGTCTCTCCAACTGTTGGGCTCATGGCCTCCCCTTCCCTCTGCCCCTGGAGTTGTTGGAGCTCAAGAGGCCCCTACCCCTGGGAGCTCCAGACAGAGCCGAGTGAGAAGGTGTGGCCCTGCAGGAAAGTCCCTCCCTGTTGAACTGGGACCACAGATGTGTTCCCATAAATGTGTGGTAACTAAGCACCTTCTGGTCCACACCCACTTGTCCTGGAGCTGAGTGTGCCAGCCTCTCATGAACTACAGGGAAATTCTTGGTGATGGCACCTGCATGCATGGAATACAGGTGGGGCAGGTGGGTCTCCCACCCGCCACTGGTTAGTGTTTACTGCTCACAAGCCAGGTGTGCCAGGCTTGTGCCAGATGGTCCCTGAGGATGTGAAAGAGCCTGAGCTCTTCTTTATGGGTTCCCCCTCCTCCCCTCAGCCTGCTGACTCTTGGACTCAGCTGAAATGATGAGGTGAACCCTGTACCCGCTTCTCATTCTCCTGCCAGGAGGGAGGTCACAGGCAGAACAGGGACCCTGGCCCCTTTCACTCAGAGCCTGCCTGCCCTGCTCCCCAGCCCCCTCACCACCTCTGTCTTCCCAACATGGAGAACTCTACCGCCTGAACTGCCTGGCAGGCTCCATGCTCAGGAGAGCAAGCTCTGGGTCCAAACCTCCACTTCCCACCTGCCCCAGGCCCTGTCACCTCTGAATGGGGTGCTTGGAGCTCCTCCCAGAAGTCCCTGTGTTGGAGGAGGGGACCATGCCCACCCCTGTCGGCTGGGAGCTATGAAAGCAGCACACCCCTTGGCACCACTGTTTGCAAGGTTATTTAGGGTTATAGGGGAGTGTCCTTTGGGGAACCATGAAGGGGCCCTGCAGGTCTAGGCAGCTGCCTCCCAGACTGCCATTGGCAGAACACTTGGGCAGCCACTGACAGCGGGGTCTGCCTTCCTGCTAGGCTCTCCCAATGTGGCCTGCACATGTATACGATGATTTAGGCTGGTGTGTATGTGTCCTCCAAGGAGCTGCTAAGGGCCTGTGAGAGTGGGCTTAGCACAGGCATCTGTGTCTTGATGTGAAGCTGGGTGTGAGCCTTCTCTGGTGGGACGTCTGGAGGACTAGGGAGAGCCCTGTCCATTCCAGAGCACTGACCACTCTCCTAACTGTTTTTAGGGCCATTAGCCCTTGGCAGCCACTGCTTCCTGAGGACAGGAAATTTTCTTCCTCTGTGTCTTGGGCACAGCTGGAAATGTCTGGAACCAGAAAACCAGGCAGACCAAACCATCTGGTTACCCTCTCCCCAGCGTTAGGGTTAGACTTCAGGTCAGTCTCCAGTCTGGGCAGAGCCCCTGCATGCTTTAACCAGCTGATGTGGGAGCAGGGGGCCTCAGGTGCACCCTGGGGTGCATGGATACAGCCCCAGACCAGCCATGGGCCCCACCCCCAGGGAAGGGACTCCCGCACCATCTCAGTCACTGAACGGTATACCCAGTGTGGCTGTAGAGGGTCCCAGTAGGGAGTGGGGACGAGTGAGGCAGCTTCAGGTGAGAGCGAAGGGGGGTGGTGTGGAATACAGGGGCCCTGGTCACCCCCACAGCTGGTTCCAAGAGACGCAAGAAAACTGAATAACTGGCGACAGCCAGGCCAAGCTCTTGCCAGGAGAGAAGGGGGCGTCATGATAAGAGCTGGGAGGGGTTGGGGGAGGGGCACAAGCAGGCCGCCCACTCGTGCCCTTTTCCCTGCCCCACTCCAGTTCAGAGACCACAGGTGGGGCTGACAAGTTGGGTGCTCGTGGCTCAGCTTTCCCAGAGGCTGGCCCCTGCCTGGCCCACCTTGAACAGGGTGAGGTCAGTGGATGCAGGGCTACCACCTGACCCCTGCAACTGCTAGCGCTGCCCACAGCCCAGGCCCCTGGCAGAGGGGAAGGACAGAAAGGATGAGATGGGGCAGGGTGCTGCAGGCAGGTGCCTGGCTCCCTCACAGAGCTCAAAGGGCAGATGGAGGAGGGAGCCAGCAGCCCCCTTAGGGCAACACCTCTTGGGGAGGGGGGCCCAGGATGTGAGCTCTTGCTTGCTTTTCGTTTCAGAGGAGCAGGGATGTGGCATCTCTTCGGCTGCACGCGGCCCGCCAGGGTGCCCGCTGCCGTCCCCAGCGCCCTCGACGCACCACCTACTGAGGCGGCCCCAGCGGCCTCTGACCGGGCTCCCAGCCACACAGGCCGCCGCTGGCCACGAGGGCAGGTGGGTGTGAGGTACCCAGGGCAAGGCTGAGTAGGGCTGTTCCAAGAGGACAGGGACCAAATATCAACCCTGGGCGCTGACCATGTGGGATGACTGTTGGCTAACGAAGGGGTGAATAAACAAAAGCAGGCAGATCATTTTCTTCAAACACACACCAGTGAACAGAAACCACATGTACATTCCAGCCTAAGTGTCCACATCCCTGCAGTGTGGCCCCTTCCCTGCCGACCACCAGGGTGCTGTGTGAACACGCTGAGCCGTTTGAGGTTCAACAGGACAGGGTCCAGAACGAGCAGTACTTAGAAGGCTGACGTGGCTGACGAGGACCAAAACCACTTTGTAAAAATAAGCAGGCTGTCTTTTGAGAAAGAGATTTGGGGTCAACGGTTAGACCACTGTCCCTAAGTAAGAGCAGGTTTATCTCAAACCTTTCAGAGGTGAAGGAGGGAGCTTTGTCCACTAAAACACTCAAAAGAGGGGTGGGCTGGGGCACACAGGAGACCCGGTAGGACAGGGCACTCACGGGCACATGGGGAGGCCTGTTGTGGGAGTGCCCGCTCCGTAGCTGTCCCCGGCCCCGCCCCCTGATTAAAGTCATGTTGTCTCCAAAGCATGGGTCTCTGGGTCCTTGAGCCCAGCGGTGGGCACTGGGGTCAGCAGGTGGGGTCCCTGGTGCAGATGGCTCATAACCTCGCGGCTTGGCTTCACCGCAGATCCGCCTCGGAATGACACCTTCCCACCCCGCCACCTCCCCTGAAAAACACTGATCGGGTGATGATGCACTGCCCAGGCAGCCGGCGCGGAGCCGAAGGCCCCGCCCAAGCTGGTCCTGTTTGTGAAATAAATACGAGCGTTGATGGTCTCTGTCCGGTTCCCTGCACCCCTGCCGTCCTCCCCGGGCTCAGACGCTCGTTTCCGGGGTGTGAACCACCTCCCCGTTCTTCTCAGGCTCCGTCTTCAGGAACTGCTCCACCTCCCGGGAGTCCACCTTCACATCCTCTGGGGGCTTGTGGCGCTCCTCCTCCATGGCCGTCTCGGGCCTCTTCCTAATGCAGAAGAAGTTACCCAGCACCAGCACAAGGGAGGAGGCCAGCACCTCGGCCCCCGCCAGGATAAACACATACTGGTAGATGTGCGTCGCGTCCAGGAGCTTGCCTGCAGTGCAGGGAGACAGGGTCAGCCCAGGGCTGAAGCTTCCACCGAAACCCCACCCCTAGTCCCAGTCACCAGGACAGCCTGGGACCCTGAAGGCAGCCACCCTCACTGCCCACCACCCCACAACCCTGCCCCAGGTAGCGCAGACCCAGAGGCTAAAACAGAGTGGATCTGACAGAGTGGTTTAGAGCTACGCCAAGCCTTGAGTGGGGGCCCCATCCAGGGCCTCCTGAGGGGTCTGACCCTGCTGCCTGTTGCCGCAGTGGCCCTCACAGGAACCATATGGACCCCAGAAGGACCCTGGGACCCCAGTTCAAGCACCTCCTCACACCAGAACTCTGCCCCCCAACCCCAGGCAGGAAGAGCGAAAGGCCCAAAGTCAGGTGGGAGGTAGAGGGCCTACAGGGTTGGCTGGAGAGACCCAAACCCAGGTGCAGAGACTTGGCAGAGCCTTGGCCACACTGCTCCCACGTCCCCACCATTATCTTCTCAGCTATAAAAAAATAAAAGTCCAGTGTAACAAAAGCCGACCCTGGCCTCAGCTCTGAGTGTCCCCAGGGTGTGGGGACAGTCAGAAAGGAGGACCAGGACTCCACCCTGGAGCCATCGCCACGGCTCAGGCCCATGGACTTCCCATAATGAAATCAAGCGCGTCCTGGGATATATAAGAGGCTGTGTTCCCCCACTGAGGTCAGCTGCCCATGTGCAGAGGTACATGGTAACCTGGCTAGACAAGGCTGGGAGCAGTGGTGGAGGCCTTTCCAGCTAAGAGCTCCCCACGGTGAGTCCGCTCCCCAGGAAGAGCAGGTGTGGAAACTGCCCAAGGGCCTAGCTAGGCCCAGGGAGGGGAGGCTGCTCACGCCCCACCCTGCCCCCCGCCAGCACTCACCTCCAGACGGCGGCCCAATGAGCACCGCTATGGCCTCCAGCAGCAGCACGAGGCCAATGGCACTGGAGAACTTCTGGGTGCCCACGATGGCCATGAGCACCTCAAACTGCAGGGCCCCCACCATGCCATAGGAGATGCCGAAGAAGATGCAGAAGACCACCAACCCACCATAGTCACTGGCCGTGGACCCTGTGAGGTCGGTGAAGCCATTGAAGAACATGGCAAAGCTGAAGAGGTAGACAGAGTAGGGCCGCACCTTCTTGAGCCCCGTGATGAAGCCAGCGGTGGGCCTCGCAAAGATGTCGATGAAGCCCAGGATGGTGAGCAGGAAGGCCGCCTTTGTGTCGGGCACCCCCAGGTCCTTGGCGTAGCTAACCACAAACACGGGTGGTACAAAGAGCCCCAGCACCATGATGGAGGCAGCCAGGGCGTAGATGACGAAGCCACGGTCCCTGAAGACGCTCAGGTCCAATAGCCGCCGAGGCGGCCGCTGGGGTGCAGGCCCTGAACCCAAGCTCTGCCGGGGTGCCTCCAGGGGCCGCATGAGCGCAGCACACACGCAGCAGTTGAGCAGCAGGCCACCCAGGATGAGGAAGCCGCCCCGCCAGCCGTAGTGGTCCTGTAGCACCTGCCCCAGCGGGGACAGGGCGCACAGGAACACTGGGCTGCCTGCTGCCGCCAGCCCGTTGGCCATGGGGCGCCGCTTGTTGAAGTAGCGGTTGAGCATGATGAGTGAGGGCTGGAAGTTGAGTGCCAAACCCAAGCCTAGAGGGGAGCAGGCAGGTGAGTGCAGGTGTCCCAGCCCAGGTTCTCCCAGGCTCGGGCACCCGCCTGAATGATTCATGTGTGGACCTTAGGCATCCGAGTGAGGGGACTCAGTGTGTGTTCAGAGCCCCCGTCACCAGCCCACGTGTCCAGGAGAGACGGGGAACAAGGGGGCAGACGGGTGCCTGGCAGGGACACCCCACAGCTGGCCTCCCCCAGGAGGCCCTATCTCTTCTGTCAACGGGAACCACTGCCACCCGGCCACTCCACTCCTGGTGGGGCCTCACTCACCAGTAAGGACCCCTGTGGTGAGGTAGAGCTGGATGATGCTTCCACAGAAGGACGCAGACACCATGCCCAGGGATGCCAAGAGGCCGCCTGCAAGCATGACTGGCCGGCAGCCAAAGCGATTCACACACACGCTGCAGAGTGGGCCTGGAGGGTGAGGGATGTCAGCTAAGGTGCGGGACCAAGGCTGTCCATGCCCAGGGAGACCTGCCCCTCCCCAATGCCCCTTCAGCCTGGCGCAAGAGACACAGGGACACCACATTCGCGTGTCTTCCTAAGTAAAGCATGGCTCACAAGGAATGGTCCCCACTGGGGGCATCTCTCCTGACTGGTCTGTGCAGGCAGCGAGGACGGCTCTGGGGTCCAGCACAGCTGTGCAGATACAGCCCTCTGGACAGGGTCTCAGACAGTTTGGCCATGCCGACCTGCCCTCGGGAGACCATGGCACCCTCAAGGGCTTCCCACCTGCTGCCTCTGGGAACCAGGGCTGCGGAATCTTGGATGTACCACCCAGCCCCCAGCCCCCATCCCCCAGGCCTTTTTGCCCAGAAGTGAACTTGGTGAACTCCCAGAGGTGGTCACCTGGCACGACAGCCCCTGCTTACCTGTGCCGTAGAGCATGGCCAGCAGGATGGAGGAGATCCAGGCCGTGTCACTGTAGCCTATCCCAAACTCCCTCATGAGTTCCTTGAAGAAGACGCTGACCGCCTTGGGGAAGGCGTAGGAGAAGCCCGTGATGACGAAACAGCCCCAAAGGATGGCCCAGCCCCAGCCCCCATCCGGGGCCTTGATGCCGGTCGGGCCCTCGTCGATCACTGCCCCTCCCATGGCCAGAAGGGCTGATTCCACGTCCCTGAGAAAGAGGAAGCCAGGCTGACTCAGTTGTCAGTCACCCAGCTGCAGCCCAGCAGCGTAGGGACAGAGATGTAGCTGAAGGCGGGCACCCGGACAGGCCGCCCATCCCTTCAGGCCCTAGCCCCCAGCAGGAGCTCTGCTCTGGGCCAGGCCAGCCGCCTGATGTTACCTGAGCACACTGCCTCTGCCCCTCACCTGTGCTGGGTGCAGGGCAGCAGGGTGTGGGGTGACCAGGGCTGCGGCTCCTCCTCCCTCCCCCGCGCAGGCCTGGACTGCTCCCACACAACTGGCTCTAAAGGGCAGTGTCTTTTTTGGGCTCAGCCAGGTCTCAGGTTACCTCCTGAGGAGGGCAGACCCCAATGGGGAAGTCAGCCATGCTCTGGCCTCCCTCCTGACCTTGTGTCGGGAAGCCGCGTGGTTCTAGCCACCAGCGCCTCGGGCAGTGAAGCCAGGCCTGATGGGGACTTGGGGCTCGGTCTAGGGTGCTGTCCCTCGAGACCTCAGTCTAGATGTGGCCAGCCTTGCTCTCCCACTCCCAGGAGGACAGGGCTTCCCTGTGCTTCCCACCCTGATCACATTGCACCAGAAGTGAGAGTCTAGGGAGGAGGCACACACAAGACTGTGCTGTGCAGGGACTGTGTGGTGGAGCAGACGGGGATAGTGGGGGTCACTGCTGGCCCCGACTTGTCCCATCCTGTTAGCAACCACCTGCCTCGGGAGCCCGAGGGAGAAGCTGCCTGTCCTGCCGCTGGAGTTTTACTCCTCTGGTGAGGGAACGGTGGGAAGAAAATGCTTCCATCCAGCCCACCAGAGCAAACCCTTCCAGCCCCTAGGCTGCCCAGTGGAAGCTGGCCACACCCACTGTCAGCCCCAAACCCGCGGAAGCTTGGGGTCAACTTCCCTCTTTTAAACCCCGAGGAACTTAGCTCATTTGAGGCCCAGGAACTTGATTTTCACCTGGAGATCCTCCCCTCCCCACCCATTTTCATCCCCAACCCGTCCCTGATCCTCGCTCCAGAAATCCCCAAATCCCAGAGATCCGCCTCACCTGACAGAAGCTGTTCCAAGGAGTAGGAACACCTGACAGAGTAGGCCTCCTCGCTGCAGGCGTGGGGAAGGGAGGGCTTTCCGGATCCAGCCACTCGCTGCCCACTGAAGCTCCGTGTCTCCCCACCCACAGTGAGCTATAAGCCAGCTCCCTGGTGGAGGAAGCCCTGTTATGTAGTATCTGCCGATTCCATGGTGTAAATACTCCACCTGCGCAGCGCTCAAGGACCTCCTGACCAGGGGTCAGCACACGCAGCACCGCCACCCTCCTATCAGCCCACCCACATGGGTTTCGTAATCTGTCCTGGCTTCACCCCTTGCACCTTTTCCTTGGATCCTTCTTGACCTGGCACAGCCCTCCAGGTGGCCAGTCCTGCATCGGAGGCTCCAACAGAACCTGGAACAGGACTCTGGAGTGAGGACAAGGGCCTCTGTGCCTGGCCTGTCTGAGCACAGCTTCAATGTGCAGAGCAAAGGAATGTGGGGAATAAGACCCAACCCCCTACCTCCAGCCTGCCCCCCAGCACCCTGGCCACAGGGGCTGTGCCCTCCAGGGCCCCTGATTCAGTAGTCTGGAGGGATCCGGACTCTGATTCAGTGTGGGGAAGGGGTATCCAGGTTGTGATACAGCAGTAGAGGGGGATCTTGGGCTTTGATTCAGAGGGTGTCTGGGCGGGGGCAGGGTTAGGGGCTTTGTAGATGATTGCAAGCAGGAGCTGCTGTCTGAGCACCACCCTTTGATGGTTGGACCCCAGGAGCCAGCTGGCTATCATGGTGATGACAAGGCAGACGCAGCCCACTGGAGCAGAACAGCAGCCCTGCCTTCACCCCCAGACTGGGCCAGAGGTCCACCTTCAGAGCCTGCGCTGGTTCTCAGCTGGGCCAGGGCCACAGGCACCACTGGGGAAACCAAGGGAAGCCCTCACCTCTCCCTGCACTCAGACCCCGGTGCCCGGAAGACACCTGGACTTCAGTGAGAAGGACAGAGGGTGTGTCTGAAGCCAAGAGCCATGCAGCCCTCTGGGGACACAGCCAAAAGGTGCACGGGGGCACCCCAGTCAAGGGAGCCCTCATCCTCCTGCAAATGTGGGCACAGCCCCTTGACCTGGTGCAGCCCCCTGGGTGGCCACCTCTGCATCTGAGGCCACACAGAACCCGGGACAGGACTGGAGGAAAGACAAGGGGCTCGGCGCCCAGACAGTCTGAGCACAGCTTCAGTGGCCCACCTCCAGGTTCTCCAGAGCCCTGCCTTGGATCACATGGCCACATGCCTGAGCCTGGTATGGGACAAGTGGACAAATGTCATCCCAAACTCACTGGGTGCCGTGGGGGCACTGAACCTCTGCCCTTCCCCTTGTTAGCATTAAGTTTAAAGGATCTTTAAGGTACGTGCTGCTGAGTGATATTAAACAAAAAACAACTAAGTATATTCTTAGGAATGTGAATGCTCTACGATGCAATGACACTAAGGCAGAAAACACAGGAATCCTGACCCAGGACTCTGGACAGTGGTTGTGATTGTGGTCACAGGGACACTGAGGGATTGGTTGTCCTCAGTATCCCAGCTTGTTTGGGGTTGTGAGCTTTGTAAAGGAAATCAAATGGATCATGTGGAGGCCAAAGAGGAGAGTGTGTCTGGGGTGAGAAATTAGGAACAGCCGGACACTTATAAACCCACAGTTATAAGACAGGGCCTCCCTCTAAGATCTCCCTGGTTCCACCAGCCAGACCTGGGCCACCAGGGGCATCATGGGCACCACAACCTTTGAAGCCCCATTCTCTGCCCGCCAGGGCTGGGTCCTCCCTGGAGGCCTCCAGGATCTTGAGGAGAAAGAGCATCGGGGAGGGTGAGGTGACAGAGGAACAGGTGCCAAGACCCAGAGGCAGGAGGGTACAGCGTGTTCCAGGACCTGTAAAGGCCAAGGCTCACACTAGGAGGGAGCCATTTCGAGCGTCTGGATCAAGGTCCTGTATAGTCATCTCTCCCACCATCCCCTGAACACCCCAGAAGTTCTTCCTCAGACACTGCTTTCTCCTGGCTAACCCCCCAGCCCAGGTTGCAGCCACACTGAGATGACCCCCACCCTGTTCCCCCACACCAGATGGTTCTCAAAGGGAGATTTCTAGTGAACTTCAATTTGCAATGGGGGAGGGTGGGCAAGCAGCGGAAGATGATGGAGAGCAGGGGTCTCTAGGTTGGGGGCAAAGGGATTTCACCCAGAAGTGCTCTGTGTATTTATGGCGGGGGCGGGGGGTGGGGGGAGCGGAAGCTAAGATTTCCAAGAGCAAAATGACCTCATCAGTGCAGCCCATCCTATGGAGGAGGCAGGCTGGGGCACAGGCTGGCTGATACTCCACGGGAAACTTAGGATGGGAGGAGCGGCCCCCTTGGGGACTGGTTGGGGACCCTCAGTACAACGCAGAGGGAGGTGGCACCAGCACATCTGTTAACACATGCCAGCCGGCTGTCCTTTCAGTGACATTTACTCTCACAGGGAAGCACGCAAACCACGTTCCCAGCCCAGAAATAACCCACCCTCCAGGCCTCGGAAAGCTGATCTCCCAGGTGGGTGTGTGTGCCTACTTTTGGGTCAGGTGAGGCTCCAGGGGCTGCCCCCAGGTCCTGGCCCAGAGGCACGAGTACAGAGGTCCCTCAGAATGACCCGTCCCTCGTACCCTCCCACATCAGGGGCCCCTGCCAGCTGCTGCCTTGGGGGCCCACTGGCTATCTGGGTGAGGGTCCTAGCTGGGGTGAAGCTCCAAACTTCTGCATCACCCCTCTTCCTGTGGCCCCCTTCTCTGCCTACAGTCACCAGCTTCGAATGTCCTTGGTGGTGAGAGTGCCCAGCCTCACCCCAACCCCTACATCTCTGCCCAAAGAGCTAGTGCAAACCTCATACCAGCGTGTTCCCAACCTGACCTCAGACTCCCACCTCAGAGCCAGCCCTGACCATGTCCTGGTGGCCTCACCACCTCCCAGGCCCCTTCTGCCACTCCATTCCAGCCACAGGCTTGCTGCCCCTTAGGCCTCTATACTGACAATTCCCTCACCCACCTCGGTGTCCTGGGTCTGTGGCCTGTCAGCCTCCAGGGCAGGCCATAAACCGGGGAAGGGGCATTCAGTGTAGGGGGCCTCCAGCCCCAGAGCCTGTGGCCTGTCCCAGGTGCTTAGTCGGTGCACTTTCCAACCTGGCCAGTTACCTAACTGAACCTCTAGTCCTTGGAGTCCAGCTCCAGGTAGGCGGGGCAAGAAAGGGGCAATTACATTCCTTCCTGACTCTTCCGGCACCAGGAGGCTTGAAAGACATGCCTGAGCAACAGGGAGAGAGCCCAGCGAGGCCAGCTCCTGGCTCCTCAGGCCTCAAGGCCCCTGAAGCCCATGGGGGTGGCTGTACCCTCAGGAGAAGGGAGGGGCTCCCCTTCTTCTTTTGCCTGCAGCCCCTGTTATGCAAACAGGTAACCAGAGGATTCAGGACACTCTGATCAGAGTGCCTGTCTTCTTTCTAAGAGGGGGGAAAGGACCCATCTCAGCCCTGCCCTCATCGTTGTTTGGAGCTGTGACTGGAGGGAGGTGCCTGGGGCTTTTTCTGGGGAGGTGGGAGCTGGGCAGTGGGTGAAGTCTGATTCAGGCCTCCTGAGCCTGGCCTGGGCCCTCCACCCCACCTTCTCTGACCATGCACATGCCCAGTGCTCCTGCAAGCTCTCCTGTGGGCTCATGTCTTGTAGGGGCCAGTGGGGTGGAAACAATGGTCTCATTCACCAGACTGGACACCGCCGCCCAGGCCAGCCCCTAGCTCTGAGTCATTCTCCACCTCCATCACCCACTTATGACAAGAAGGCCATTCGAGAGTGGCCCTGGAGATGTTTTTTTGTTTACCTTGTTGGGGGGCCCCCTCCTCTAGGAAGCTCAGAGGGCAATGGGGAGGGGCCTGAAGGTAGCTGAGCAGGTCCAAGCTAACCCCCCTCAGGCCTGGATCCAACCCTGCCCAGCCTGGCCCTGCCTGGGCTGCCCATCCACGTGGCCACCTTGTCCCACTCAACTCCCTGCAGCACCCCCCAGCCCTAAACTGTCACCTAAGACCAAGGCCCAGAAGGTGATCTTTGTGTCAGTAAGCCCCACCAGCCAGGAAGGGGCCCTTCCAGCAAAACTGGGTTCCTAGTTCCCACCACCACCACCTGGGGGCTTTGGAGCAAGTAGAAGGTGGGGGAGTTGGCTGAGGAAGTCAGAACGGTTGGGGAGGGGGAAGTGGAAGCCCGGCCGTCCCCCCCACCCCCACCCCCACCCCCACCCCAGGGAGCAGGATGGATGCTCCTTCCTATTTCAGCTTCCGGCTGCGCAGGTGGGAATCCGGCCCACCCTGGGGGGCGCCGGGAGCGGGTGGGGGTGGGAAGAGAGGATGCTCTGGGCGGCCCCGCCCCAGCCCCGCTGCCAGGCAGCGCGCGGGACGTGGGGGACGTGACCACGCCAAGGGAGGAGCCGTCGCCGTATTGCCTGGAGTAGACGCCCTCTCTGTTCGCTACCGTATTGGCCAGAGCGCAAAGCCAACACTTAAGGCCACCAGGGTCAACGAACCCCTGAGCCGCATTGGGCATCCCCTCGCGCCAAAAGGGACCCCGTTGTTACCCCCGGGCGGGGCACTCTTCACTGTCCCCGCGTTGGAGCTGGGCCAAGTGGGCGCGGCTCGGCGCTCGAAACATTGACTGAAAACGCTGGGTCTCCGTGACCGGCTTCCTCGCACGGCCCATCGCACAGATGGAGACTGAAGCCGGGAGGTCTGCGCTCGCCGAGACGACGCCGGCAGGAGCCCCAGGCCTTATCCGCTCCCGCCCCTCCCCGCCCCTGCGTCTGGGCCCAGTGCCCGACGCGCCCGCGGCCTGATCCCGCCTGATCCGGAGTCGCGTCCAATGGACTGATGGCTCTGCGTGGCTGTCTTCTCCACTGGTTTCCTCCCAGAAGGGCCGCGGGGGGCCCTGGGGTCGCTCTACTGGGCTCCTCACCTCTAAGGGGCGGTACTAGCCCCCTGCACACCTGCTAGGTCCCTGCCCTGGAGCAAGCCAGTCTTGTCCTGGGGACACCACCAGCCAGTGAGTGGGACCCCAAAGACCCTGCTGCACACGCTCTGCCTGGTCAGTTTCCTGAGGAGCATGAAAGCCTGCCCCTTGTTCCTGCCTTTCAAGCAGAGGTGTCCAGCTGTAGTGAGTGAGAGCTGAGTTGCCTTCTGGGTATCAGGCCCTGCCCAAGGTCACATGGGGTCATTACAGAGCCTGCCTTGGGATCAGGCCTCCCAATGTCCACCCCAGGCACTGACTATACCACAGACTGGGCAGGAAGGTGCCACATCTGTCTGGGCACTGCCACTGCCACCTTCAGAGCCCCTTGGGGGCAGACCTCCCACCATGGGAGCAACTCCTTAAGCTGAGCCCAAGCCTCAGTCCATCAGTCAAGGGGCTGAGTCCATCCTCCAGGACACACTCCTCCATCTGCCCCCGTCCCTCCCAGCACCCATCTGATGGCCGAAGACTTCCTGGGCCTTCAGAATGAGGCGCTGGACCCCAGAACCCTCCAACCCTCAACACACCCACTCCTCCGCTTGACTTTGGACAAGCCTCTCTGACCTGGGTTGCATAAAGGCCATGGGTCCGGCTGCCATCTGCTGTCCCACGGACCACTTAGCCTGGCCATGGTCATCACACAGAGTGATCCTGTCATCCCAAGCACCTCTGGATGTACAACCTAGTGCCTCTGGGACAGAGAAGCACTTTGGCCCCAGGGGCTGTGTCTGCCCCTCACCCAGAATCCAGGCAGCACCCCCCGCCCCTGCCCAGAGGCCATGACCCCCACTGCTTCCCTCCCATTCACAGGCCTGCCGGCCACTGGCCTGGGCCAGCATCCAGGTGGGTGAGTTTTCAACCCACTTTTCAGATAAATAAACCAAGGTCCCTGAGGCCCCACCTGGTTTTCCCAGAGCTCAGGGCCTGGTGGGGGGGGGGGGGTGTGAAGTGAGCTCGGGGAATCCAGTCTGATCCAGGAGCTGGTTCCCCATCTCTCTGCCCAGGGTCTCGATCAGAACCCATTGCCTGAGGGCAAGTGTGGCTTGGTGAGTGTTCAGGGCGGCGGCGAGAACAGGAAGGAGGTGAGCCCTCGGGCACCACCACCCCACCCCACCCCCCGGGCCGGGAGAATATGTGCTCCCGGTTTCCCCCCCGGGAAGGGGACCCGGGCCAGGCGTTAGCTCCCAAATATAGCCAGCGCGCCCAGGCCGTACGCAGCGAAATGAGCTATTTATACCCGGAACCCGCTCGTCCGCCCCACAGAGCCGCCTCCTGGCAGTGCCCAGCCCCCGAGGGTCGCTCGACGGAGGGGCGCCCGGAGGAGCCGGGGAAGTCGAGGTTGGGCAACCCAGGTCGGAGGGCTCAAAGGGGTGCGGCTGGCACCCTGGGCTCCTCAGTGAGGGCCGCCGGAGGTGGGGGGCTCGTATGTGCCCGGCGTGCCCCCGAACCAGAAGGGTGAAAGGCAAAAAGTGGGGACCCCCAGGTCGCCCCCAGGCCGGACTCAGACTCAGCGCCGGGGCGGCTGGGAGAGTCCCGATCCCGGAGCCGCGGAGCATCGGGCCATGCCTACCTGCTGCCGCTCGGTCGCCGCGCGCCTCTGCCCGCCTCGCCGCCAGGCGCCGCGCCGGGGGCCACTCAGTGCTCCGGCCGCTCGCGCGGCACTTCCCCAGTGCACGTCACCGCCGCCTGGCGCCGCCCCGCCGGGACCCCGCGGGAGGGGCGACCCAGTGCTCCCCGACGGCGCAGAGAGCGGCGCGGGCTGAGCCTTCTCGCCGGATCAGTCCCGCTGCCCCGCGCCCTCAGACCGGCCCCCCGGCCTCGCCAACCCCTGGAGCTGAGCTGGGAGCCCTGGCCCGCATCCCCCTCCCGCCCCTTCGTCTCCCACTCTCTGCGCTCTCGCCTCTCTCTGCCGGGGCTGGTACCGAGCGCGACTGGGTCCCGCGTTCTCCGAGGCACCGACCCCTGTCGCCCCCCGCGCCCGGGGGCCGCGCGCTCTGAGAAGTGAGCGCGCGCACCCAGCCACACCCCACGCCACCAAGTGCACGCGGAACCCGTGGGACTCTCGCCTCTCAACTCAGCTTTGGGACTTTGCAGGGCGCCCTAGCCAAGCCCCCTGGGATCTGCGCCCCCACCCAAACCTCTGCTTTCTCCAGGGCGGGCGGCGCCCGTTTTCCTGGGCTGGAGAAGAGGGAGAAGGCGAACATCGCCCGTCCCCCTACCCCGCCTGGGTGATCTTGGTCAAAGATGTCATCCTCTCTGACTTCCGTTTCCCCTGTGGAGCCAAATAGAACCGCTACCCCTCCTCTTGAGCTCCCCCTAACCTGGCTGTGCTGGGGGATGGTGGAGCCCCAAGGCGTGTTCCCCATCCCCATACTCCGCAGACCCTCACCTAAGGGGAGATTTAATCGCAGCTGGTCCTAGGCAAGGTGCTTCAAACCCGGGTTTTCTCATCTGCAACATGGAAAGAACTAAGGTTTAAAGAGGAACCAGAGTGTGGCCACTGGTGTCCTGGGCCTTGGTGACTGGTTTCAAGTCACAGGACACTTTCCACCGAGACCCCCAAGTGTTCGGGGACTTCAGTGACACCAAGCAATGGTGTCTGTGGGGTTTATCTCAAAGATTTCTGTTCATCCCAGACAGGGTGAAAGAGTGAGCATCCCTCGGTGCCATCCTCTGGAGGCATACCCCCTCCAGAGCCCAGTGGGGTGGCTCATGCCCCTTGGCACAGTAAAGAGGGGTGGGCAGAGGGTGGTGTGGGCCTTCTAGCCCAGAGTTCACCATCCAACCACTCTTTCAGAGAGACCAAGTCCACCGAGGACTTCCGATCTTTTTTTTTCCGAATGCTGGGAGACCACCCCACCACCATCCCCTGTCCAAAGAGCCCTGGCAATCACAGAGGCTGGGCCAGGTGCTGCTGCCACCCTGGCTTGGGGCCCAACCACCCTCACCCCCACATGCTAGACAGGTTGCCACATAGGCATTCATATACAAGACAGCAGGAAGCCCAGCCCAAGCCCTCCTGCAGCAGCTCTGCCTAGCCCTGCCAGGAGAAGCCCCACTGAGTTGGCCTGGACCCTGGGTGTCTGTAGGGGCCCTTGGGAAGGAAGGGGGTCCCCAGGGTCTCAGGTGATACCCCCACTTGCCTGCACCAACCAACAATGATCACTGGCTTCCTCACAGCTGGAGGTAGAAGGTACACCAACCTGGGAGGGCATCCGTGGGGGTGCAGGGCAGAGCTACAGAAGAGAATCCCACCCCTGTACTGAGACTTCCAACCTCTGGGGTGGGGCATCTCCCTGCTCTGCCTCAGATCATTTAGACCCACACCCTGCCCTGCGTGGGCCCCTCCTGCCATCTCCTAGATGCCCTACCCCATCTTCATAAGACTTGGGAGCTGGTGCCCCACCACCACCACAGGGACCGGAGCCCCAGGCCTACAGCCCCCAACCCCTGACTCCTGCCCCCAAATGGAAGAGCTCAGAGTGGCCAACGAGGGGAGACAGATGTGGGGTGGCTGGGGTCTTCCTGACTGTTCCCAGCGCCCCTTAGACTAGGGCTGGGTCTTCTCTGAACTATGAGACTGGGGAGGTCCCCCACCCAGTGATCTGAGAGAGTCCCTGGGGTCCACCCTGGGTCCATCTGGGAGGGCTGGTGATGGTTATCCAGGGACACTGTGATCCTGCAGGAGCCCCAAGGAGGGAGAGAACAGTTTCCCAGACCCAGGGCCCCTCAGACATGGTCTCCCGTGGGAGACCAGAGGGGAGGCGGGGCAGGCTGATCAGGCACCTGCTTACCAGCCCCCACCCCCTCCCCCCTAGCAGTAGAGGGATTGTCTCACCCAGAGGTTGGAAGTCCCCCTAGCTTTGACTGGGGATGTGAAGGAAGACCAAAGCGGGGTGGCAGAGTGATGACTGCTGTGTGTGGCTCTGTATGGGAAACCATTCTGCTGCCAGTCAGCAGAAGGGCAGAGCAGACTCCCCCCAGGTCCTCCCCTGGACCGGGGCCCTGCAACAGAGGGCCAGGAACCTCTGCCACCTGAGACCCTCGGCCTTCCACGCCCCGACCTCCCCCTGGGTGCTTCAGTCTTCTTTCCAGGGCCAGGAGCCCTAAGCGCAGGAGAGAAGAAGTGGGCGCCATTCTGTGGTGCAGGGCAGGGGCGGAAAAGGCCAGTGGCAACCCACCCCAGGCCTGGCTGCAGTGCCTGATCCCCCACAGGTGCCCTGGGCGAGCCCCCACCCCAGGCTGCCCCTTTCTGAGAAAGGAGTGCGTGGAAAGGGAAGCAGGTGAGTGACCCGGGGAGGTGCAGCCGCTCCTGGCAAGGTGGGGGGACGCTGTCCCTCATGACCCAACCTGCTTCTGGCCCTGCCCTCCCCCGCAGCCCACCACGCCCCTGCGAGTGCCCCCACCTGCCCTGTCTCCTGGATTCTAATTCTTCCAGTTGTTCCAAATCACAGCTGCAGGTCCCATCAGGCCCTGGAACATGCACTGAGGAGCATCCAGGGCTGCCTGCACCCCCTCCCTAGCCGCTGCAGCTCCTGGGGGGTGGGCTGCACTCCGCCGTCCCCAAGGGGAGAAGAAGTCTGCCAGGCCCATCCTCATCCCAGAGTCTGAGCTCCAGTGGGTGGGAACCAGGCTCCACTGTGCCACAATCTCCGAAAATGATCTTTGAAACCTGGAGAGACTTCTGAGGGTCTTAGCAGCAGCACCCCCAGGGAGGGTGTGGGACAGGCCTCCTGCTCCTACACAGAGCCTGACTGCAGGCGAGGGGAAGCCTTTCTGGGCTTGACGAGGCCATGCAGATGGCCCATCCTTGAGCCCTGGGTGCACCCCACCTGACTCCAGGCCCCACCCAGTCCATTCGTCCTGCCCCAGACCTGCCTGTGCCACACAGCACTGGCTGCCACCACCCTGTGGTCAGGATCGGGGCCAGCACAGGCTGGGTCGGTTGAAGAAAGCCAAGTCACAGGACAGGCTTGATGGCTGAGCCAGGGCCCCCTGCTGTGGGGTCTAGCTCCTGTACCCCACCTTCCTTAGGGACCTGGAGACAGGACTGTCGCAGCCGGGCCTCACTCAGAGCACCCCTGGGCTACACCTTCCATGATGCAGGGTGGGGAGCCCACCTTTCCAGAAGACTCGAGGCCAGTGGTGCACGGGCCCCTCCTTGAGACAGGCCATTCCCCTTCTTCTTTGCTTGCCTCTCGGCTTTTTCTCAGAACAAGAGCCCTGAAAAATTAACCTATTGACCACTTGGCTGGCCCGGGCTGTGGGCAGAGATAGACTGCAGAGGCCAGACCCCTGCCCAGTCCAGCCCTGATTCACCTGTCCTCCCCACCCAGTGTTGGGCATGGGAGGTGAGGGTTTGGGTAAGGTTTGGAGGTGTCTGTGGGGGTGGGAACAGCCGACTTACTGGAAAAGACCCTGATGCTGGAAAAGACAGAAGGCTAAAGGAGAAGAGGGCAACACAGGATGAGATGGTTCGATAGTATCACCGACTCAACGGACATGAACTTGGGCAAACTCTGGGAAATAGTGAAGGACAGGGGAGCCTGGCATGCTGCAGTCCATGGGTTTGCAAAGAGCCGGACATGACTTAGCGACCGAACCACAACAAATGGGGTGGGAATGTCTGAAGTGGGGTTCTACGGGAAAATTGGGGTGTCCATAGCAGGAATTTGAGGTGGGGGTTGTGACTGGGGGTCAGGTGGGCTCTGCCTTGGGCCCTGGTGGGTGATCCCCCTGATAGCCATTGACTTTCTCCTGCAGATCTGGCTGGTTGCTGTTCCTTGGGCCAAGCTCAGTCCCAAGGAGGCTGCCCCAGTTGCCTACTCCTCCTGACCCTTCAACGGCCCGGATGGGAGGGTGTCACCTGAGAGGTGAGGGACAGCAGCGCATCGTGGGGGGCTGGGCCCAGGCAGGGGTAGCAGACTTGGGCGGGCCAATGGCCCCTCTTCTCGGTGGCCACAGTGCCCATGCCATTAAGAGACAGGACTGAGATGGGGTAGATGCTGCTCCCAGAGCATTCAGAACCCAAGGTCAGTGGGGCCACTGGGTGGGTGTGCCCAGGACTCTTCTCATGGGGTGAAGGGGCCCAACAGAGAGGGAGCCATGCAGCTGGCCCAGGTCAACCCTGACATGCTCTGGCCTCAGTGTCCTGCCTGTAAAGTGACCACTCTTGGGAGGGCTTGAAAGCTCACCCAGTTCACCTGTCAGGTACATCCCCCTCCTGCCTTGTCGTCCAGCAGGATTGGTTGGGTCCAGGCCGGGGCTCCCATGGGAACAAGCCTGCTCCACTCCCTCCCGCACCAACATCTATCTGCTGGCTTTCAGACTGAGGCCTGTCCCAGCCTGGAGTCTCCCTCCATCTTCCCAAAGCCACCCATCACCTTGTACCCCTGACGCCCACCCCCGTCCTCAACTGAGCTCTGCCTTGGGCGACCAGTGAGGGCATTGAGGTTGGGGCACCCACAGTGGGCAAACAGGGGAACTCTTAGGGCCATGGGCTCTGAGGACAGTAGCCTCAGCCTTGAGGCCACTGCCACACTCTGTGGTACCCTGTGATGTTCTCAGGAGCTCTCCTCTCCCCTTCCCCCATCATAGATGAGGAAATGGGCTTGGCCCTGTGGGAGGAAGGACTTAAGTGCAGACCTGAGCCCGGATGTGGCAGAGAGGAAGCAGGGCAGGCAGAGGCACGGCATGGGGAGTGGGCACAAGGCCACTGGCCTGGCCAGGTATGGATGACATGTCTGTGAGAGGTGAAGACCGGGGATGTGGCAGAGCAGCGCCCGCCCTGACCCTGCCAGATTGAGAGGCTCCCAGGACTCTTCTGTCCAGGCTCTCCTCCAGGCCTCTGTACCTTTGCATGTGCTGTTTGCGCCCTCTTCCCAGGGGAGATCAGTGAGCCTGCTGTGGATCTGTTCCCTAGAATGTGACTCCTCCCCAGGTGGGACTGGGGGCCTGAGCTCAGGGGCCAGGCGAGTGCGGGAGGATCCTGGCCAGCG